TCCCAGAGACCCTTGGAAAAGTTTTTTTTTTTTTTTTTAAAAATTTTAAAAAAATTTTTCCCCAAAAAAAAAAAAAAAAAAAAAAAAAAAAAAAAACCTCTTCCCCCAACATGACATTGCCACTACCATGCTTCACAGTAGGGATGGTTTCAACCAGGTACCTATTATTTCTTGATGATTGGTTCTTTGTTCTTGTTGCGTCTAACCTGACAGGTCCTTTTTGCTTATTGGCTAAGTTTAAGCAGGTTTCCATGAGGTTTTCATTGAGTAGCAACTCCCGTCTGGCTACTGGATTGTGGATTGAAAATTGGATTGTGATGTGCATCAACAAGGGTTAAACTTAAAACCGGTTCTTACACCCTGGTGGTTGCAATTGTCTTCCATTTCTGAACAGTGGTGACTGTAGCACTTTTTTGGGATACTCAGTGCCTATTTCAGTAAGTGCACTCCGATCCAGATCGTGCCCAGTCAAGTAAAATGACTGCATATGGACTCCAGCTGACTTGCAGAAGCATGTGGAATCATATGCATCTGTGCTTTCACTTGTGTATTGTAACAAATTTGGGAAAAAGTGAAGGGCTGCAAATACTTTCTGATGGTCCTTAGTTGTAATTGGACCGAGATGTAATTTGAGCATAGATCATCTTCACCAGACTGGCCAGTATTTTTCTGAACTAAGAGTTTTTTTTTTTCCATCACAGCTGCAGTACAGTTTTGGATATTGTGTCAGTTTGGTTTGTGTTTCAGTAAATCTCACATTGGAGAGTCTTAGTCATGCCTTTTTTTTGTTTTGTTTTTGTTTTGTTTTTTGGGAATGGTGAAGCATTGCTGTTACTGTCAAGGTGTGACGGGAAACTTAGTTCGGTTTGAGTCCACGAACCAGACATACAGGTTGTCTTCGAGTGACTCACAGCCTATCGGGACATCTCACTCAGCCCTGCTTTTCTCTTGCCCGTCTTTTGTTTTTTAAAATTTAAATGGGACATCAAATCCCAGAAATGATGGTGTTCCAGGACTGTCAAAAGCTCCAGAAGGTGCGGCCTACCTGGAGTTTACATCCTGCGGTGTGACCTTGAGCAAATAAAACAGGTTCATCTCATATGATGACACCTAATTGAATGTGTTCCAGTCACGCCCTGAACTGTACAAATGATGGTGAATTCACCTGGCGCTGCCTGGAAGGTCGTTGCCTTTGCCCAAAGAATATTCAAACGGGGAAGTGGAGAGCGGTCAAAACAGAGAGCATAAATAATAAATCATAAAACTGATATCTGCGCGTGCAGAGGGAACTGAAAGATCGCTGAAGATGTTTGACCATCTACGGGATTGCTTGTTCTTGTTGTTTGGCTCAAAGACTCCAGGGCAGATACCACCACAGAGTCGACGCCGTTTCTGGAGGAGGCGGTTTCGCTTCCGTTCACTTCAGACCCAAACAGGCTGAGAAGTTGGTGGAAGTAAGAGAATACCTTGTCAGGAATGAGGCCTGAAAGAAAGTGTAATGCTTATTTAGGTGTAATGTTACCTATATGGAATGAGGTGAAAGAAGAGAAGGAGCCATGCTTGCTTTGGTTGACCCTATCGCAACCTAGGCATTCGCCTCGAGCTGGTAGCCAGGATGTAGTGGAGCGGTGCTGAAACCTCCCGCACCTGTTGCTGCGTTTAGCCGGTCAGCTGGAGGCTGTTTTTGTACTTACAGAAAAGTTCAGTTGGGTTGTTTGTGCATACTTTCTTTTGTGGAAAAACAGTCACCCACCCTGACCCCGACCCACTCTGTGACCTATGACTCCTTTAAAACTAGAGCTGGCAAGCAAAGAGCTGGTTGGGAAAATGTCTAAATGAAAGCTGCCCCATTACGCTATATGTTTCTCTTTTTCCTTTTTAAATCATTGTGCTAGTGAAACCATAATGTTTTTTTTTCAATGAGGTTTTCAATAACATTTAGAGTTAAGGCTGAAAAGTTCAGTACTATTCCTCTCTTAGTCTGTTTCAAGATACTAGTTTGCTTGTATTTTACTGAAAAGTGAAATAAAAAAAATATCATTAATTAAAAAACAGGACTGAGAATTAAACGAACCCCTAAAGATGGTACCAGTCCACCCACTACACCTGCAAGGACAGACAGGTGGATGAAAATGTTTATTTATTTATTGGATTTGTTGCCATGGTATTTATTTGGGCAAGCCATTTCCTTCTTTGTTACTGATTTTATTTTATTTTTTTTTTTTTACAATTGTATTTGTTGTATTGTAACTACAGTTAATACATTTAAATAGATGAATGCATGAATGAATGAATGATTTTAATTTAGCCATTAAATCATAAGAGTAATAATTGAAGAATTTTACTTTTCATTAAGGTAAAGAAAAATGGCCTGGCTGAACAGCTGAGTCAGGAGGAACGCAAAAGACAAGAGGTAGGACTTGTGTTTTATTCTCCATGCCACAAAATAATCTCAAGTGTCCTTACAGACTGGGATAAAATGTCCGTTTGTACCCGTGATTTGTGTCACAACGACAAAAACACCCCCATTATAGTAGAACAATTACAGAGACGCTCTGTTAAGCTGTCATTTACTACAATGAATTATAAGTATGGGAGTCGGTTTTACAACAGACACAACTGGTTCACAAGTCTTTGTGGGTGAATATCGTTTGCTTTGACATTCCAGACGTGACTGAAGTCTGCAGGTATGCGAGTCGCGTCGACGACAGAACCCAGGGGACCTGAACCCATCAGGTCTCATCTGTGTTGCTTTTCTCTCTCTCTTTTTTTTTTAAGGCCATCTTCGAAGTGATCTCATCGGAGCACTCCTACCTCCACAGCTTGGAGATTCTCATCCGTATGTTCAAGAACTCATCGGAGCTCAGCGAGGCGATGACCAAGATCGACCACCACCACCTCTTCTCCAACATCTCGGACGTCTGCGAGGCCAGCAAAAAGTACGTTTGGCGTTTGTTTGGGGAATCGATCTTTTACTTCTTTGGGAAGATGAGAAAATGTTGTCTTGGCTTAAATGAGCATTGCTTCCAGAGGTGGGCAGAGCATCCAAAAAATTGTACTCGAGTAAGAGTAGCTCTACTTCAAAATGTTTCTGCTCAAGTAAAAAGTAAGAAGTAGCCGTCCAAGAAATTACTCAAGTAAATCTAACTGAGTAAATGAAACTAGCTGCTACCCAATTTTGATTATTTCATGCTACAAACATTCTGCTTTAATGTCATCGCTTGCTATTTTCACTTTGACTCAGAACCGGGCTTTCAGTGACTGACAGAAGGCCGAGGACTCAAGAGAGCCGGCTTCCATTTTTGTGACACAAAGTATTGACTGCAATTAACTGCAAGGAAATATTTGGGTTAAGCTGTCTGCTACGGTGTGTTAGCTCATGTGTTCAGACTGGTCTTGAAAAATTCCTGGCTCAGGTCACGATGAGCTCCCATTTATCTCACAAATGACTGGAAACACTGATCCATTAGAGGCTATGGAAGCTGAGACCGTGGAAATCTCTGCTCCCTCAGCAGTCACTTCGCTAAGTTATTTGTTGCTTCTACAAAAGGAGCCTCAGAGAGTTGCTTGTAGATGTCATCTATCTCTCTCTCTCTCTCTCTCTCTCTCTCTCATGGATTTCTTGTGAAAAATATAAGACATGCTATTGGTAATAGCAAAACCTTTAACTTTCCAATTGGATAACATTTGCAGCTGACGTTTTACACAACTGTAAGAACCTCATAACACTAAACTATAAAGCTGTGTAGCTTATGTAATCCCATTGACGCTGAGGGCTAATCTCAACATTTTTGGGGCCAAAAGAAAAAAAACAACCTTTGTCTTTTCTTTATTTAATTAAGTGCATTCTGAACCATCAACACATTTATTTTTTTTTTTTTTGGAGCAACTCATTCAGTGAGCGAAGACATGTAAAGTTATGTCATTGACATAAAAGTGTGATCTAGGACGATAATGTTGCTACTAAATAAAAGAGGTTCTTTTACGGAGCCTTGTGGAATCCCATGTTGGATTTTTCTTTACTCAGTCTCATAACCAGCAACTGACCCACTTCAAATGTGTGTCATTTAGTATGTTAGTCATTTTAACAAGTTTAGCGTTAAGTAAATATTGTCAGAATGTCATAAAGCTGAACTTTAATACACACAACCTTTGGTTACTGGCCTGCGTGAGCACTGGGTGACTTTATGTGACCTTTGAGTTGACACATAAAATGAAAAAATGGAAACTTAGGGGGGAAAAACAAGCACATGGTTATGTAAACGCTCGTATTTTGTTCTTTAACTCATCGGCTTTTCTCTTAAGGTTTGTAATTAAATTTTGTTCTACACATTTACCCATGACACGCTGTCAAAAAGATCCATCTGCTGAAAGGCCATTTTCAGACTGATGATCTTTCTTGCTACATCTCGTCAAGCAGATCTGCAACCAGCTCATCTTTAAAAATATCCGTGCATGAAATCATACGAGTTAAAACTGCCTTGATGAAATGTATCGTTGCATTTTTGAATGACTCAGTATTACTCCATCTACTGTGTGGACACGCTGCAACCCATCTCACTTCAGTTCGTCATACATATTCGTGACTCGCACATGTTAATGTGCGTTTGCTCCCTGCAACACCGGTTAAGCAACATCTTTTACTTCGAATTTGAATTTTTGTTTTTCGGAACAAGAGAGGAATATCTGTCTGCAGCCAGGATGCTGTGTAGTCTGTATAATGGAGAGTGTGTGTGTGTGTGTGTGTATGTGTGTGTTTGTCTTCCACCCCCCTCACCCCATGCTTCCTTTACACACAGGCGGGTTCCTGTTTGTGTATTTTTCCTTTGGTATGGCTTACTTAATAAAAGTTTTACATGAAATCTGAGCGTTTAACTGGGACAGGAGCATTTAATGAGATTCAGGATATGGTTTAATTTGTGCTCTTTGTCAGTAGTGGTTCTGCAAATGTCTTTGTTCGCGTGCTGACTTAACTCCAGCAATTTATTGCAGCAGGTTGGACTTATTGGTCTCATTTTTTTGGAACTTTGATCCTCTTAGCGTCCTTAATTTAGGACACGGGGGGCAGAGGGTTAGGACTCATGGCTGTCAAGACATCATGGAAAGAACAAAATTAGACATTAGCAAATGGCCACATGGTCACAAGAAGTACTGTCTCCCATATACAACTTGCAATGGGTCTGTTGAGTGAAGGAGCCGGTCTTTGCTCATCTGCTTTTCCAGTTGAGCTCGGACACGGCCCGGCAGGTCAAGGGCAGCATCCTGTGTCTGTATCCCCGCTTCCTGTTTGGCACCTAAGCTAGGGCGAGCAAAAACACTCGCTCTCTTGAAGTTGGACAAATGGCGTGTCATTAACCCGGCCATCTGTTGGTGCTTAGGAAGAGGAAACGCATCTAATGTAATGGTTACTGCTTGGCTTTTATCTATTTTTAGTGACGGGGAGTTCCGCTTCGTGATCTTACCCCAAGTTTTTATAGGTAACACGTTGATTGGCAGGTCGTCTCGGTATCCTGACTTTGCGTCCGTTAGTGCGTGACGTCTTTTCCTCCCTTGGGGTCATGACTTGATGTCATTCTATCATGGCAGCTCGTGGCCTACTAACCTTTAGTTTGTTTTTTACATTTAAAAAAAAAATCTTTTTACAACCGTGTCTCAGGTTCTTCAAGGAGCTGGAGGACAGACACCAACAGAGCATAGTCATCGATGACATCAGCGACATTGTTTGCAAGCACGCCGAGTCGACCTTCGACCCTTACATCAAGTACTGCTCCAATGAGGTGTACCAGCAGAGAACGCTGCAGAGGCTGGTGTGAGTGACCGACCAACGTCTTCCTCAGAGACGCTCTCTCTTTCTCCCCTGCTCCTCTGACTCGGCCTTCTTACTTTCAGCGGTGCCAAGAATTCTGCTTTCAAGGAGGTGCTGACCAGGTTGGAGGGCCACCCAGACTGCAGGAACCTCCCCATGAGCTCCTTCCTCATCCTGCCCATGCAGAGGATCACTCGCCTGCCGCTACTCTTGGACGTGAGTGAACCGAAATGCTCACAGTAGCTCAGGCCTGAGGAATTACAAGACTTTTTTTTTTTTTTTGAGTGTTACACAACGCTTCGTTTATTTAACTGCGCGCGGGGCGCGCTCTAACCGCACAGGCGTTTCCGTGACCTCGCGTCATTCTTTAATAATCCCCAGTGATTCATTTTCACTTCTTCTTCGTTTGTTTGTTTCGTATTGGAACTGAATATTTGAGTTCCCTGTGTCTCCCTTTTATCTTTTTTTCTCATCATAATTTGATTTTCCTCTTCTTTTCTTTTTTTTTTTTTAAGTGGCTCCCAAAGGGGTTTTGGGGTTTATGCTTGTACTATGAGATAATTTTGGCTCCTGAGAAAGTTTTATTTCTGTTTATTTACTCCCACAGTGCTAGAATTTGGTCCCTGCTGATGCAGCGCTGTGAACGACTTCTCTGCAGATTTCTTTTGTTTTCTGTTGTGTGACACTTTAATATTTCAGATCAGCAAACATTTTATTTTTTTCCAAGCAAAGATAACTGTAATAAATGCACAATGCAAACAATTCTATTTACTAGGGAAATAATCTGTCCAACTCGACCTGGCCTTGTGTGAAAAACTCAGGAATCTAGTCAAATATTTCACTTTATTACTTCAGAACCATGTATGAAGTGACTGTTTGAGGAGAAGCAATAGCTTCTCCATTTAAGTTCAGACTTGGGCTTAAATCAATGTCGGGACTTTGATTTAAGTCAAAGTCTGGACTCTTTTAGCCATTTTTGCACTTTTGTAAACTTTTAGCCTACTTCATCATGTCAGACAGGTTCTAGTTTAGTGATTTCTTGATTTTGCAGGTCTTCTAATAACCAATTCCAGAAAAATGTCTTTAATCGCAGTTAAGTCTTGATTCATTACTTATTGCTTCAAATAGCTCCAGGCTGGTTAGTGTCACTTTCCTCCCCCCCTTGATGAAGAAAGTCATAACTTGAAAACCCTGTTTTATATTTACTTATCTCTGTACTTACTGAGGTCATGTTTGATATCAAAATGAATTTGATCATCTGAAACATTTAGGTGGAAGACAAAAAAGCAGAAAACAGAAAACTCTTTCAGGAGTCTCTTTTTATTGCTCCGCGTGAGCGTAGTGGAGAGAGTGGTCTATCGTCCACGACTGTTTCGTTTTTAATGTGAAACTAGTGTGTGTGTGTGTGTTTTGCAGACCATCTGTCAGAAGACGTCAAAAGACTCGGCACGCTATGAAACATGCAAGAAAGCCTTGCAAGCCGTTAGCAAGGTCTGTGTGTTGTTTTTATTTTAAACCGTTTAATATCTGGATAACTTTGCAAAATAGTGAAATGAAATATATTTACGCCTTCTGTTGGTCTGTTTATCTTTTCATTTTTGTTGTTGATAGTTCTAAATCTTATTCCCACAGGAATTTAGCTGTCTGCTTTACCACAGTCAAACAAAGACATATGTATTTTTTTTGCACCTCTCTGCTTATTAGATGGAATCTATAATAAAATATTGTTGTCTCCACTGATGGTAAATAAAACTGAATCTTAATTGTCATTAGCAATGCAATAATCTTTTTACTTTTTTTTTTTTTTTTTACTTCTTTTGCCAATGTTGTGCTGCAGCATAATTAACACACTGTTCAAAAAAACTAATCGTGGGGATTTGGAAGAGTCTGCATTGGCAGGGCCTGATGATTATGGAAATATCAAGAATTAATAAAGTTAATGGATCACCGCTAGACTGTAATGGAAAAATAGATTGGTTCCTGCAGCTCTTGGTCTGGAAATAGATGTACAACATCCTGAAATAATTGTTAAAAAAATGTCAGAGATTCTCGTGTTATGATGAACTTGAGTAAAAAGATCCTAATTCACAAACTGAGAAGCTTTTAGTAGGAAAGCAACTTATATCATTGCAAGAATATCACAATAAGTTATTACTGGCGTAATATGTACGCGTACTTCGCTGCAATTTTGTTATAAGCTTAAGTAAACACGTAAAATGCACACATTAAAAACACATAACCTTCAAAACAATGAATTATGCATTTTGAGTTTTGATCTGAAATATTTTCATACAGTCATTTCAGTCAGTAAAAAGAGTAGCAGCCTCTTTCAGCCAGCTAACTGGCAGTGCACAGGAAAAAAACAGTAGGAGAGGCAGAGCAGCATTGCTCTGCTCTCCAGTTAAATCCTTTCTGCGTCTTATCAAATGTACTTGAAAACATTTATTTATTTATTTTTTTTTATTATCCAGTGACTATTTTTTTTCGTTATCTGTGTGAGCAGGTGGTGCGGAAATGCAACGAAGGCGCTCGCACGATGGAGAGGACAGAGATGATGTACACAATCAACACTCAGCTGCAGTTCAAGATTAAGGTAACGATTTCCCTTTTATAGTTAACGAGTAAATTAAATCAAACCAACCTGCAGGTGGTAATATTTTGTTTTCAAACTGATGTGCTTTGTGTGTTATTAACTGAGATGACTCCGAATCGGATTCAAATCTCATTCTGTGATATTTTTACGTCTTACTTTGCATCAAGTTTAATGACTTTTATTACAGAAGACGAGACAAGCCAATTGTAAAACTTCAATTTGTTTGTTAACTGTTTCAAAATACAGTTGTATTTTGCTGATATCAATAAGAAGGTTATTCGCTTTTTTTTTTTTTTACTTTTTTGATGTGCTGCTCATCTCCAAACGCTGGATGTCATTGAACGAGTTGAAAACTAGACGTATTCTTTTTTTTTTTTTAGCTCCCAAACATTTATTTAAATCAGCCTCATAAAAGACACCAGAAGTCCTTCTCATTGTTCTCATTGGAGCAATTCTCAAACCCTTTTCACCAAATTGAATCATTAATCGACACCTTTTTCTGGACTTTTTAGTTCCTCCCGTTTTTCAACCACATTTCATGTCATTTTCACAGAAAGTATAGTGCTTCTTTTGTCGTTTTTTTTTTTTATGACTATTTGCCCTGAGGGTTAATTTCTGCCAAGAAATGCGATAAGGAGAACAAGTGCGCTTTCATGCGTTATCTTTCTCAATGTGAACAAATCAGAGCAGGTTTACACTTTACGCCATGTGCAACATGTCTGTCATCACAGTTAATGAACAATGGACTGTGTCGTTCTTCTAAAGGCAGCATTTTTTGTCTTTTTTTTTACGAACATGAAAGCATACTTTACATGACTTGTATACTTGAGCAAATTTTTTCCATTTACTTGGAAAACCATATGTTTGCTTGTTTTGCATCCCCCTCCTGCTGTTGCAGTTCTTTCTTTTTTTTTTTTTTACTCAGTAACAAATACTCGATTTTTCCCTCTGTTCTATTGGACTTGACGTGTTTTAGCGTTGAACTGTTGCTTGCTTGTTGAACTGACAACCACTTGGCTCATATTTAGTCGCTAAATGTCGCTCGTCCTCTTCCCTACCTTTCAACAACTGGTCTAAAACGGCAATTTATGTCAGGGGTCAAAACGAGTGCCGCAATGCAGCTGCACGCACACATGTAGCTGTAGCAACGTAAAGCATGCACACACCGCTGTCGTCCAGTTGGCACAGGTCTTCACACTCACTGAACACACAAGGCTTGGCAGCTCATGTGTGTCTAACCAGTGTGGGAAAAAAATAAAAAAAAATAGCTGTTGGAGCATTTGGGATTCACAGACGCCTCTTGTGTCGACAACTGATCCACCTTTGGTCCTCCAGCTGAGGGACGTTACAACGTTCATAACTGAATGCATTTTTATGAAATGTGTTGTTTCGATCTGTTTTCTTTTGTTCCCCCAGCCTTTCCCGCTGGTCTCGTCCTCCAGGTGGATGGTAAAAAGAGGCGAGCTGACTGCATTCGTGGAGGACAGCGGCATCTTCACGAAGCGGAAATCCCGACAACACGTCTACTTCTTCCTCTTCAACGACGTTCTCATCGTCACCAAGAAGAAGGGGTGAGCTGGCGAGTTTTCCCAGAGTGTTTTCCCAGAAGCCTTTTGGTTTTCAGGGCTTGCAGCTATGAATCTCGAAGGCGGGGCCAGCTTCGCAGCGGAGTCGGTTCAGTCGTCGTGTTTGAACTTGTTCAGGGAAAATCCCTTTAGACAAAAAAAAATAATAATAAAAAGATATCTAAACTGAAGGATGCAGACGAAGTTTGAAAAGAAAACAAAATCTTAAGTTTTTTGTCTAGCTATTAGTGCAAATATTTTAGTACAATTAAAATAGCATTTATAGAAAACTTTTTATTAAGATATAGGAGCTTGTTTTAAGTCAGTAATTCCTTAATATTGATTTTATTACTGGCAGATTTCTTTACTTAAAACATAAGTGAAAAAAAATCTCATAGTACATTTACGTTTTTATAAATATTAAAGAATTATTGACTTAAAGGAAGCTATTATATCTTGCTGAAAAGTTACTTGTAGGTTAGTTTTGTCTTTTTCTAAGTATACTTGCACTGGAAACCAGACAAAAAATATTTGGTGTGTGTTTGCTGATGGATTATTTTTCATAGGTCAAAACCATTAATACAAATCAGTTGTTTCAGGTTCATAAAAACCTTCTGTTGGATAAAGTGACATTTAAGTGTTTGAAAAAATAAAATATATAGTTTTTTTTTTTTTTTTTTTTTTTTACAAAATTCTTTCTAAAAACATGTATATTAATTAAAAACATTCTCCAACGGTTGGATTTTTAAACATTTTCAGTGTGACGATAGCTGCTCTGTGCAAGACTTAAAAGAGTGAAGATATGACTTTATTGTGTTTTACAAACCTTTGAGGTTGCCAAGCAACACGGAAGCTGCTTCAGGTTCAGCGTCAGCACTTTCGGTATCTCGAAGTTGGTGCTTGTATAACTTGGCTGGAGTCCTGGCCTGCCCAGATTATTTTTTAGATAAGGGACCAAGATTGTAAAAGGAGCCACATCCCTGACGGTTGTCTCGTCAGGGATGTAATGGAAAAAATCCGAAGGTAGAGGTGTCTTGTACACCGAACATAAGCGTCCAGGGTTTATTAGAGGCCTCTTGATGGGAGAAAAGAAGCAGCTTTAGTCTAAACCGGCTGGATGTAAACATTTCCATGCTCTGACTTAATCTGTTGCTCATGTGTCTCAGAGAACTCCTACCTCTGCAAAAAGCCCAAAGTTATTCAGACTCCAGGTAGATTTGGATTAGAAGTAAACTTTTTGATTTTAACTAATTTTTTACAGTGGTTCAGTCCCAACTTAAAAAAAAGAGAATAGTCGAAACATGTCAAAAAAATAAATGCTTTAGATCTACTTCAGCAGCCATAAATGCTTTTCCATTAATTGTAAAGAAGAGCATGAACCCTACCCGATGAACTCTTAAGTCTTTCCATTGTCATCTGTGCTTTCGAGTGCGTAATTATGTCTCTATTTTTAGACAACGGCAAAAATAAACATTCAAAAATATGCAGAGAACGTCCGTAAAGCTGTGTGTTTTTCATCTGCGTGCGGTTTCAATCGCATGCTTGTAAAATTTTTCCGAAATATCCTGTCCTTTCTTGTCATGTGTCTGGATTCGATTGCCATGCTTCTCGCAGACTGAGAGTTCCCAAGAATCATAAAAAAAAAAAAAAAACGAAAAAAACACTAAACCACATTCCTCCTTGTGTTTTTCTGAGAATCTGATCTGGAACAGCAGACTCCAGCAGTGAAAAGCGTCAGGGACCGTGTGTTTGGAAAAGGGGATTTGGTAAAGGGAGTGCTTTGGAATCAGTGTGTGCGTGTGTGTATGTGTGTGTGTGTGTGAATGGGAGAAGCTGTTATAATATTGGTTTGTACCGTTTGGAGAGCCACGGCTGCGCCGTGGCACGCCACTGCGCCGCGCTCCAGCTGCGGCGCCGGAGGCTCACGAGGCCGGCCGGACAGCGGCAGGCCACACGCCCTCTGCGACGCAACAAAACAGCAACTGTCTCGTTGGTTCTGACCCAGAGTGCGGTCCGTCGCGCGGCTAAATCCAACGTTGCCTCAGGAAGAAACCTCCCTGCTTCTTCTTGTCCAGTTTGTATTTCTCCAAATGCTAACACTCGGAAGGCGTAGCAGGGTCAGAACCGTGACACTTATTAAACGTTAGAGAACGACCTTTGACCTTAGAAGGTTTTCAGGATGAAGGTAATGTTAGATAATGATACGAGTAACAGAAGTGATGTTGTAATGTACTGGTTATCCTGTACTTTATTCTGTTAATGTAGCAAGAGCTGTGTTAGTTTCACCCACATTTTATGTGTTTTAAAGCTAACGCTTTGCTAAGCTATTGCTTTTAAGCTTTTTCTTTAAATACTCAGTGGAAAGTAATGACTAACTTCTTGTAAGCAGCTTTTGATTTAAAACTAGAGTCTGGAAATCACGTCATGTCAAGACTTTATATCACACTCTCTAAAAGTTGCTCAGGAAAGCCTGCGCAGCTCAGCGGAGGCCTGCTAACTCTCCCTAACATTTGGTTTCCATAGCGATGGTTCCAGATCTGATTTTAAGATAAGAGTGGTGGTCCAGAATAACATGGACCAAGCAGATTGGATTCTCTCAGCTTTTCTAGCAACTCTACAGAAATACAATTTTAGGCCAGCCCCTTAAATCAAAGTGCAATGGTACAAAATATTTTACTTTTTAAAGATAAAAACCTGATAATCATTGAACAAAGTGAACTTAAAATACGATAAGACAATGTAACATAAAAACAACTAATGTAGAACTCAGATACCCAGACACAATTATAACACACAGCGACTTACTGAAGAGGATAGTTTGAAAAATGTATTTTTTTTAACTATTTAAACACAGTTTAGCAGTTAGACATGTTTCATATGCATTCGAAGATATGAAATCAAAATTTAAATAGGATTTTTTAACTATATTCGTCTTCAGTGTTGTTGTTGTTTTTCTTCTTGGTTATTTTTGATTATTTGTTCCTCAAATCATAAAAAGTTCCCAAACGCTCCAAAATATCACATATTATCCGTTTTCACACCAGAAACGGCCGCAAACGGACGAATGCTGATTCTTTAAAATTGATCACAGTTAAACTTGCAGCCGTTTTAAACTCGTGTGACCAAAACAACCAGTGTGAAATGCTGAGCAAGTCCAGCCTGGTAATCTGTCTTTACTCCTGTGCATTCAGCGGAGATGAAAACCGCCCTGGACACCATCAGGGCTTTTATCTCTTTCTCTCTCTCACACACATTCACACCAGTGAACATAAAGCTCTTCGGTGCGCATGTACTCATTTGTCTGCATGTCTGAGCCGGAGTCTCATCCGCCTGAGAGACTGTGCGACTCCCGGTTTGTTTGCTGAAGAGCAAAGTGTAAATCAGAGAAGCAGAAGCTGGCACGGTATGCGGAAACATTTGGTTGATGTCTGAGCTCCCTTAATCCAGAGCAGTGTGTTTGTTTGGATAAACCTTGCGGTAGTTTTCGTCGTATATCATTTTCGGTGTTTATAATCCTCCGCATTCATGTCAAAATGCGATCGCAGCCGTCTTCCACTTCCCTTTAGCTGCTACGTAGCAATTACCGGGGCATGATACCTGCTCACCCGATCACTCATGGAGACTCACCGTACAAACGTTACGCTCCCCACCCATCCTGTTCACGTCACTAGAATGGCATTCCTGGAATTTTTACCGGTAGATTTGTCCTCAGGGAGGCAACAATGCTGATAGTCCTAAAATCAGTCGAGGAAGACCAGGAAGAGATACTTTTCTAACTCTACTTCTACACAGCTTGAGCCGTGTTGGAGTGATTGATGATCAGGTGCTTATGAAGTGATAATAAAAGAAACTTCCATGTTTTTAGGGGTTAGTGGTTAAAAGTGAAATCAGAAGCTAAGGAAGCAACAAGTCAGTTGTTAATGCTAGGCGCTAATCATGCTAACCTTAGAGATGCTAAATATAGCCTAAAAAGGCAGATAGTTTTGTCTTTTTCAGATAAGTAAGTAAAGCACAGTTCTGATGACAATTTTCCTCACACAATCTAATTATTACAGCTAATAATTTTGACAGCTGTTTCATTTGTGCTTATTGAAGGTAAATCGGATGAGCAAAGAATCAACCAATCAATGATGGGAGCAGCTCTACTTTATTGGGTTTGCAGTCGATAAAGATTCCGTTCGTTGTTGATTTTAGTTTTCATTGAATCATCTTCAAAGCTCAAAATGAACTTTGTGTAAATATAATCAAAACGTCTATTTACTCATGTCTAAACGTCGTGTTTAGTTTTTAGGTGTCACAGCTAAGTTACAGTCAAAAAGAGCGTAAATATGCACCTGCATTATCCAAGCGTCCGTGTGTAGCGGTTAGCTGTGCGCAGCGTAGCATATCAAAACTCTGCCCTAACCTAAACTTTGTTTGAACTATTCTCAAAAGTTGGGAACTGTGGCTTCATTACCAACATGTGCGTCTGTTTTTTTCTGCGTTTTGAAAGGAAACTTTGACACTGGTAGCACTCAAACTAGCTCTCAGGTGTGTCAGCTGGTAAAATGGGATTCGGAGATTCTAGTGTCGCGTCTTCGCCTGACTTCTGCTTCAGAAGCCTTTCTGCTGATATTTCCTGACTTGCATAAAATCATGAAGCCTGAAGGACAGACTGTGTGTGTGGTTGGTTAGCTGTCTGCACCTTCTGTACTTTGAGAGCGAGCTGTCCAAACAGAAAACAGTGGTTCAAGGAAATAGTCACTTAAAATGTTAACAATTCTTTTTGATCACAGAGCCTGCAGAGATGGCTTTAGTTGGTGTTTTTTCCCCTGCTTGTCTCTGGCCTTGGCTTCTTTAAGCAAATGACTTTTACTCTTGTATTTAAGAACGTGTTCAACAGATTCAGATTCAAGGTTGCAATGCTCACCCAGATAGCATCATCCTCTCTGAATGCGTCCAGCCAGCTTGTGCAAGACCAAACTCTAAAACCATAAATGTTAGCTAGATGTATCCATGCAAGCCTGCAAAGTACAACGCAACTACATTAGCCAAAGGATATTTAGTTTCCTTTTAAAACACTGGGCCAGCTGACAAAAATAACTAAATTAATCCGTTTGCAGTCCTTAATCTGTAGGTGCTTGTTCTGAGTAAAAGTATTGTTTTTTCTAAACTGGATTGTGGAATTGAAATTAGACTCAATTCCAATAAAATGTCGTTGTGTAATTTTTATTTTGAGACGTGTTTGTTGCTCTGGTTAGTAATAATTTAATGAAGCAAATATTTCTGTCTTAGTGAATTTAACAGTCAAATCAAGCTATTCCATATTTTTTTTTTCTGTTCCCATGCACTACTTCCAGGAAGGAAAGTTTTCCTTCCTGTTGTTTGCTACCATTAAAACTAACTTTTACCTGGTGAAATGCAAATTTTAATGTACAGTCGGTGGTCTTTTTTCCCCTTATACGATTTATTTGTGTCATATCAGATAAAATGACAGTAAAATATAATAAAGTTTGTGGCTGTAATGCAAAAAAAGAGCACTGTATCTTCACTTTTGTTTTCTATCGATGAAGAACAGAAGTGTGTGGCTGAATTCTTCGCCTGCAGACAGTTTCACTATCTTGAATAAAAAAAAAAAGAAGTTATTAATCATTTTTTCTTTGTACCTTTTTTTTTTCCTCCACCAGTGAGGACAGCCACACAGTCATAGACTACGCCCTGCGGGATCAGATCCAAGTAGGCAGCAGTCAGCCGGAGGACGTTCACCTCTCACCGGTCAAGAGTCCCACGAGCATGCTGAGCTCACGGCAGGTCGGCGCAAACCATCTCTTCCGGCTGTGTTTCCGTAGCAACCACTCCAGCGAAAAGGTGGCAATGATCCTCGGAACGGAGTTGGAGTGAGTGCCTTGTTTTGTTTATCCTTTTCCTCATTTTGTCTTTTCTTTTTTTTTTTTTAAATTAAGCCATTTTCCCTGTTCAAATTTCACTTAAGCATTTACAACACTTAGCCTTAAGTGGGAGTGAATAACTTTTTGCCCGTGGCGTAATGTCACTCTTGCGTGTCTGTACGTGTTGAAGGCTCGTCGTACGGACGGTCTGGGCTATTGGCTCAGACAGCAGAGGGAACCTGAGATCTTTAAATATTCTGACTGCAAGGCCAGATTTTTAGCTCCGTTACGTGCTGCTGTGTTCACCTTCTAACTCACAGACGGACAAAAATTCCCTCGTGGTTTTAGCTACATTAAAAGCAACGAGTCTATTTCTGAATCCGCTCTGAAAACAAACGCAAAGATGGAAGTGAAATTTGTTGTCGTCTTTAAAGGCTAAAGTTAGCAAGTGCCAACCAAAGTCCTAAAAACAGCCTGTAAGCTGTTAGCTGTAGCTAACTCACCCCTCTGTAACTTCATCTCTCCTCATGTAGTAATTAGGGAGTAAAGTGAGGATGTTCGGATTACATAACCCAAACAAAGGAAAGGGATCTGCTTTTACGTTGGCCTTCGCATTCGTTCACATGCATGGATGCGCAAACACACTATGCCGTACGCTGTAATCATCCGTTGTGGTTCAAAGCTTTGCTAAGTCTTTACTGTTCCCCCCTTCTCTCTCATGCAGCTGGAGAAACTCCCTCCGTCTTCTGACGGGAGCAGCTGTGATTTATCGCTTTTGTGTGGAGGAATTTATTGTGTGGAACATTTCAAACGTTTCTTACACCTTCCTGTTTTTGCTTTTACCAGACATTGAAGCCTACCTATTTAACTAAACCCTAAAGTACATGTAATATTTTTCACTACTTTTCTATCCTTTGCCAAAAAAAAAAAAAAAGCTTCAATATTCAATAAATCTTCCCTCTTAATTTTTTTTTTTTTAGCTTCTTGTATATCATTGCAGCCGTTAATTACTTTTTTAAATTTTACTCCAATGAAAATATGAAACTCGACAGGTACTGGTTTGTGTCGGTGGTGTCATCCGAATGCAATCTTCCTGCCCTGCCTTCCTCTCTGCTGCATGAGTTGTTGTGGAAAAACCAACCCAATTTCCTTCGTTTGGTGGCGTCTGCCACAGCTCACCGAAATCCTGAATGAGCCGAGAAAACCCAGCAGGGAGACCCTGGCAACAGTCCAGTGTCATGGTGGTAACTAGGCTTTGTTTAAGCTGTTGTTTAGCAACAGACAGCAGCTAAGCTGGCTGTTTCCCACGATCGTGCCCCCACCCACCCACACCCACTCTCTGCTGCTCCTTTACTTCTCCCGATCCTTCGACACATTGCCCAGAGTCTGCGTGCCTCTTCTTTCACAAAGAGGACTGTGTGAGCTCTTTGTTTTCTGATGACCGTCCCGTCCGGTCGTCCCAAGTTTAGTAAAAAAAAAAAAAAAAAAAAATCGCACAACATGGAGTCTTGTCTCAGCAGGCTGGGAGTTAAACAAGGGAGGTTGTTAGCAGCTCCACTTAAAAATAGATAATAAAAAAAAAGTTTAACGAGAGACCTTCCTTTTTTTTTTTTTTCCTCTCCCCAGTACTAATCTGAGCCAAATACTTAGTACACCAGTGTCTAGAGATAGCTTCTGCAGGCTAACATCTGCTCCAAAAAAGAAAGAGGTCATAATGTTCTGACAAATAAAACGTGAATAGCTTCAGTTATTTCTAAAGACATATCTGACCCGATACATACAGCCAATCTAAAGTAAACTCGTTGCCACAATCTTGCTGCTGATTCTTTCATGCTGAATCATTCATTGAAGTCTTAGGCTAATGCTAGCAAGTTTACTCTGTGTTTTGATTTGACTTGTTGCTATTTTTTTTTTTTCACCAGCATCTGGTGCCCCATACGCTTTTCACGAATAGAGAATGACAAGCTGCTCTACAATATTGCAAATCCACACACACACACACACACACACACACACACACACACACACACACACGCATTTCCCAGGCACTCCAACAGACTGTCAATCATTTGCTCCAAATTGCCCGTAGGTACGAGCATGCTGTGACTTTCTCCAGCAGAAAATAAAATTTGGCGTAGCTGTAGAAGATGAATTAAGATTCACTTTTCTCCCGTCATATGCTTTACCTGTCTGTACATTTTAGAGCTTATTTTCTGCAAAATCCACACAAGGATTTGATGAGTTTAATGAGTTTAACTTTTATGGATTAAAAGTTTTCAGCCGATGTGATTTGAAATGATTTGGTCATCTGGCCCGGTCAAAACACGATAGATTTGCTGGAAACCGTCCCCTTAGATACCTGATCTAAAATTATTGAAGCATTTAATGAACATATAGTCCTTTTACAGCACAGCAGGGAGGTAAATTAAGAAGAAATTTAGTTAATTCTGAACTTTTAAGCCGTTTTTTTGTGGATCACCGAGCATTTGAGAGCAAAAGTGACAAAAAACTGCAAGATTTCTCGTTCAGTGAACTCAAGCCTTTGTATCTGCTTCCCTGGAAAAGAAATGATTCTCATCTTAAAACATTTAAATGTTCATTATGTTTCCTTTTACTGCTGACTTTGAGTGCAGCGAATGTTTGGCGTTCCAGGGTGAAATTCTTCACATTCTGACTTTAGGCTCGTCTGTTTTTCTTTCGGAAACAAAACTGCAGAAATGGGTTTTGGTGGGTTTTATTTCCCCCTGCCCCCATCTGGCAGTTTTTGCTTTCATTTCCACTCACTGACATTTCTCCTGCTGCCCTGTCCATGTCTGCGAACCGCCGCTTAGCGTTCCAGAAGCAGGCGTATACGAGGACGACCTTTGATGTCGATGGCGGTTTAATGCATCAGGAATTCCAGCTGTTTAGAGACGGATCAGAGAAAGGGTTCTCTGTGTGGACTTCTATTTCTCTCTCTCTCTCTCTCTCTTTTTTTATTGTCTTTCTGCTCTGCTTGCATGCTGGGATGCTTTCCCCTTGACCTTGTTGCTGTGTCTAGTGTTCAGCATCGGTGAATAGTGTTCGTCTATTAGTGGAACAGAGCGGCTTCAGAGGCCTACAGGAAAACAGAACCGATATTCAGCTGTGACAGAGAGCAGCAGCAATTATATAACAGCTCTGACCGGAGAAGGGAGTCGGTGCTTCTGCTTCTGTTCTGCACACTGGATCGTTTTGGATTTTTTTTTTTTACCCCCCTCTTCGTCTACTCTGTCTGCTTTCGTTTAGATGTGATAACGGGAAAGTTGTTGATGGGAAATGTAACGTGCAAGTCGCAGATGCTCGGGGATTTCCATGACTGCGCTGCGGTTGTGTCCGACCAGTAATTAGGAAGTCCGGGTGTTCGTGATTATTGTTGGAACACGAACGATGACCTGAGCTGAACCAGAATCGGTGCAATGTCTCTCATTAAAGGCACAGCATGTTGCTTTTTACAGATCTTTTTTGGCCAACGTCGTGTTGTCTGACAGGTTCTGTTGAAGCTCTGAAGGCGTGGCTGTGATCAGGTCTGGAGAGTGTCAACTTGAATTGTTGCCAAAATGAGGTTCAGAAAAGTTAATTCATTATTTTATTTATTTTTTTTGAAAGAAGGGGGATGATTCTTTTTTTTCTACATAACGCCCGTCTAGGTTTAATTGACGTTTTTCTCCATTTAACAGGTTAAAAATCATTAGTTGAAAACAGTTTTTTATGGTTTACTTGTTATTGTTTAAACGGTTCAATCGTAGTCTAGTAAGAGAATAGTTACATACACACTACAAAAGAACAGCAGTAAAGTATGTTTACACGTTGACAGATTTTTGCATCCACCTCTCTTACATTAGTAGCATCATCCAATATATTACTATTCATGTTAACTTGGTTTTGACAGTCTTTCTTAATATTTTCTATATTCATATCTACTGTATAATATTGACTATGGCAATACCAACAGAAATAATTTCTCATATTGATATGAAGTGATGGATAAAGGTAAGAGAACAGTTTTCACAGCATTGCTGCAGCAGCAGCAGCATGGAAGGCCGACCCAACAGAGAGTAAACAAACCAGTTGGAGGGAAATTGAGTTGTAAGACGAAGCGGGGACGAATACCCAAAAGTCTGGGCGGTGATGTTTGGGTCATCCGACGCAGGAAGGAAGGTCAGAGAAGGGGCTGTCATCACTCTCGAGCCATTTGTGTGCAAGAGGTTTCGCAATCCACCCGGCGAGACTCTCTTTTCTTTTCAGAGGTGAAACACGAGCCTTTCACAATGGATTTATGTATCTTGGCATTCCTTTCTCATCGGCAGGATGAATGGCTGAAGCCGGAGGAAGTCTCACTACAATGAATAGACCGATTCTGCACAGGCTTTTCGGTCAATGGGAGGGGAAGGCGGGAGGGGAGGGTGGGGGGGGGGCAAGCACCTGCTATCAGCGCGCATACCGAACGAGTCTAAGTACATCTCACATACGTTGGCCCTGCCGATGCCTGCGCTTGTATTTGTTGGTTGTTTCAGCTGTTTTGAGCGAGAGGCCGACCTGTCGGGACTTTTGTTTTGCGCGCACGTTTGCATCCGACCGTTGGCATGCAGGCCCGGCTGTCGAGAAAAGCAAACAGCTGTCTGAGCCACAGGAGGCACATTGATGTCCATGAAATTGAATGAGAAACACATGATGCTTGTAATGCTTCTAAGTATTGACACGTGTGATTTAAAGGGATTTTTAAAAGGATTGTTGTGTGTGGTTGTCAGTAACCGTTTCTTTACTTATAGGAGACGTGTATCTTAAGAGTCCTGGATAGGAATGTCAATCCCTTGATTATTCGATTGGTTTAAATCTTATTTAGGAAACAGAACTTTCTCTGTTCATCTTGACCAATCCT